TAAAGTGAGAAAATACTTTGTGCATTAGTTCCTTGAGCATCTGTGGTGTCCCTGAACTTTGGAAGAGGGCCTTGCAATTTGGCTGATGTTGACTTTTGTCTCAAATCTTAGTGCTGACCAAATCGTGGCTAAAAAAGACCCAATCAGCAGGTAAATGTTGTCTTGTGAGAGCAAGTAATGCTCTTATGGTCAAGGCAGTTAAATGATACCCCAGAGAACTGTATTCTCTCCCTGCTCTGCATTCTTGCTATCATTGAGAAATTCCATCGTAAATCAAAATTCCTGAGATAATGGCTGCAATCTCACATCTTGTACGTGACCCATATGAACCTCAGATGTGGTTTGTAGGAGAGCTGAGCGACATGAATTGCTGCTGAAGCACTGTGAACTCTTCTCTGTACACTGATAAAGTTCTTTGTAGGGTCCATTCTCTTTCTCCCATATCTCAAAAGGGGCCCTCAAAACTGCCAGATTCTTTTAATCTGAGCATTGCTTCCTCAAAATCATCAGAAAAATGGGAAATCAACGTGGTTACCATGTATTGTGTAAAACTGGCTGGATGGGAAAGCCTGTAGTAAGAATGAATAATTCTGCTTTCAGAGATGCTTCTGCATTCAGTTGGTGCTCAGTAGATAAGCCCTGGGCCATTTCTGGAATGCTTGAAGTGAAATATTATCCTTGTTGAGTTTTCTGCTCCATGTATCCTGCTGTGAGACTCAAAGGTCTATGCAGGAATCAATTCCCCTGGGAAGCTTAGGGCTCCTTTATCATTTATCTGTTGCCTGCCTGAACTGCTGTAATACTGTTAATTGACCGAATGCCTTTTCTAATCCCTTGTAGATCTGCCACAGTAAAAGTGGAGAGATCAACCCTATGAAGGTAGCTAATCTGGTGAAGGCATATGTGGAAAAATACAAACATATGAGGAAACATAAGAAATCTGATGGTGAAGATACGCGTGAAGTGGAAAACTGAGAGCAAGCCACAGCCAGCATGACTTGGACTGAACTTACTCTGGCTGTGAACACTGTGCCAGAGGGAATAATAGATCTGCAATTGCATCTCACTGAAAATAAAGTGCAGAGAAGCAAGATTATAATAGGACTTATCTGCGGAACCTTCTTTTGAATTGTTTCCGTATGGGAATAAACTTGGGTTTTTTTGGATTACCTACTGTAGAACTAAACAACAATCAAATGCCTCAGACCAGCAGAGTAATTTGAGGGGAAACACAGAAGAGATTAATGTTTGGGACTCCTGGATTGCTACAGTTTTCAGGGTTACTTTGATCACATTTTTGGGCTGTGCACCTGTCTTGCTAAAAGTTTGAAACTGGACACCACTTTTCATATACAGTATATTGAGAGCTGTATACTGTTTCCCTTGTGTTTATTTATCAAAATATGGATTGTCTTTAGAAACTTCTAATTTAATACTTGAAATGTTGTATTTTTAGCCCGTTCGATGGTGAGCGAAGCTTTACTCGCTCTCATTTGGGGATTGCAGAATTGAGCTAACCTTTATAAACTGACTTCAGAAACACTGCTCAAGCCATGGTGTTTATTTACGTTCTGTTGGAAGTATCTTGTTAGTGAAAAGTTTAATTTCGGGGTGGGAGGCTGTGTTGCACTTCTGTAAATAATGCACTGATGGCTGGTTTTGTGTCTGCCTTTCAGGAAAAAACAAAAAGCAAGCATTGTGAATTTTCAGTAACAAGCTGGAGGGGTAAGGTTGAACTGATGTACAAAGCAGAAATGTGACAGAATTTATAAAGTTATTTTGAATGGTTTTAGTCCTATAGCAGGTGTCGTTTGTTTGTTTTACAGCTGCCTCTTGCCCTGGCTGTTCTGTATAAATCTGCACTCTTGGGTCTTGCTTAAGGAATACTGTCTTTCTAGAAGAGGATTGGAGTTGGATAAGTAATTGTTCCTCCTCCTCAGTAGGAGGACTGGTTTTCCTATCAGGAAGCAAAGGAGTCCAGCATACATAGTGACTGCATCTTGCTTTCTTTAAAAGCACTCCTTATCCACCTGTACGTGAGCAACCGATCTTTTAACTGATCATCTGAAATACAGTCACTCAGAAATATATTCAGCACCCCTGAACCTGACAAAAAGCATCATTCCTCATCTAACTGTGTTAGGGAGAAGACATTTAGCAGGGAAGCTGAAGAGAAAACAGTAAGTTACAACTTAGAAACTGGCTTTCCCTTCAATGGGAACTGAATGTGTGTGGCCTGTTGGACCAGATGGCAGCAACACATCTTACGTGAGGTATTTCCTAACCTCTTAGAGTGCACTTGGAAACTGCCTTCTTTGAGGATAGTCTTGCTGCTTGTCTTCAAAGAGAAAACAGTTAGGCTCTCTGGGATGAATTTTATAAAGCAAGTAACTGCAGCTCTTGGTTTTTTTTCCTAGCGAGCATAGGAAAACTCACAAATAGCAAGACCTTTGATCCCCTGCTGGCATTCCTAACTTCTCAGTGAACTCTGATTTCAATCGTAAGATGTTTGCCTGCATACTGTAATTTTGGCTATGGCTCCAAATAGCTGGTTTGGGGACTTATTATTTATTTAAACAAAACAAGCCCATATACCAGTACTGTCTGGACTGGCAAAACACTTCACTCCCATCATTCACCATCCTACAGAAGTGTTTATGGATGAGCCCTGAGAGTTTTAGAGTTGATCTTCCTTGGCTCTGTTTGCTTCCTGTATGAAAGTGCAGCCTGAATGGAGTATAAGGGATTGATGACTTTGGGCTTTCTTTGAAGATTTTGGAACAAAGGCTCACTAAGACTGCAAAAGAATAGCTGGAAGAGAAGCTTTAGTTTTAAAGCTAAACTTGTAGCTAGAATATATACCTAGCAGATGGGTGTGGGGCTGTGAATACAAACACTGATGATAGATTTTGTGACAAAATACAGTTCAGAAACTTCTATGGCACTGATGGCAGCAGAACAAGAGAATGTGATCTAGTTGTGAATATGCTTAGGCTGAAATTGGACACCTTTGGATGTATCAGAGGAACAATTCTGGAATAACCTGCCTGCATGAGTGAAAAAGAGTAGGTGGTGTGAAAAACAAAGCTTGACCAAATAATGGAAGTAACTACACTGTTGACCAGGAAGCCAATGTCAGTGTGTTTTGTTCCTCAGACTGATTGACTGCTTTAAATTCTTGGTTGGTGTTAGCCTTGGATTAGCAGTAAAGATAACAACCTGTTGCAAGATCTGTTAGGAGTGCATGTACTGTAATGACTGTTAAATTCCAGTTACCTATGCACCTGCCATTGCCTGGAGGAGCAATGAAGCTGAAAACTATACTTTCTGCACATGCTTTCCCCTGAAGTTACGTGAAAAAGAATACTGGTTCTTTCATTCTGTCTACCATTAAAAATAAATCCATCAAATTGTAAGGTGCTGCTTGGGAGAGGCAATGAGAAACATACCTAAAAATGCCTCTTCTGGCATGTTCTAGAAAACAGTTTTTCTAGTATACTACTTGCATTCTTTTCTTTTTTTTTTTTTTTTTCTTCTTTCTGGTTGACCCTCAGATCAAATGCTGCTACCTGTTTAAGGGAAGAAGTCTTACTTATTCAGCATATGCAGTAGTTTGGTAGTAGCATAACCTCTTGTTAGTGTCCTTTCCCTCCTCTGCAACAGCAGTAACACCAAAAGTTCCTTTAGCAAAGGTAGGGACACTGCTGTAAGAAGTTGACTCAGGAGCTACTCTGCCACCTTCTTTGTCTCGTAAGCAACCTCCAGAGCTGCTTTTGGGACATACCCATGGCCCTGGTACCTGGCCAGAGGTGCTTGGGTTGTTGGGAGCTGCTCTGATGGTGGATGGAGAAAGAGAGGGTGGGGTTCCCGGGCAGAGCTCAGGAGGCGGGGAGCGAAACAAGAGGAGGAAATGAAAGGGGGGGCCGAGCAACCGGGAGGATCTAGCTGGTGCCACGCCGCGGGGCCATGACCCAGCCCAGAACGTGTGAGTAGCTGCCCTGGCTCTTTGCCACTCTGGTTCAGAGCGGTGGTGGGAGCCCTTTGGCTTGTCTCTCTGATGGTGCTGGAGGAGAGACAGGGCGTTTGGGAGAGGGTGAAAGCTTGCTTTCCTGCTGGGCTCATTGCATGTCCCAGGTTTAGGTGGTAATGCTGAGAACTGATGATGAGTCCATCCTAAGCAGGGTGCCTTGCGCAAGGGGATGCTGTGCTCAGCATCATCTGGTGAGGAAGTGAAACGAGGGAGAGGAAAGCAAATCTGACCATGTTTTGTTCTAGTATTGTGTGATCCCTATCCCACATCTGCCTGGCAGTCTTCTTGCCTGTAAAACTCTCTACTCTAAACACCCTCCTTTTGGGGATATTCTCTGCCATCACCCAGTCCCTTCTTGTGCACCCTGTCCTGGGGGGTACCCCACTGTCCCTGTGTTATTCTCCCAGTCTCCTGGGGCTGGGAGAGGCCCTGCAGGGAATTGTAGCATGCATCTGGAGCCGAGGGGAGGATGTGAGAGAGGAAGTGTCTGAACTCACTAGCCTCAACTCATCTCCCTAGCTGTGGTTGAGAGCTGAGGGCTGGCTGGGCGAGTTATTTGGAGAGCAGCTTTCCTCCTGACGTCAGCTCTGCCCCACCAGCCTCCTGCTGGGATTAGAAACCTGCCGTTTTCGGGGTAGATGCATCTGTGGCTGGAACTCTTGCAGTGCTTTGATGAGAGCAAAGCTGTTAATGTGATGCTTGGGCTACAGGTCAACGTCTGGTGGGCACTGTTTCTTCCTGTGTCTTCAGGCCCAGCCAAGATCCTTGTGCCTTGGCTTTGTCTCCTCTCTTGAAAGGACACAGGAGCTGTTCAAGCAGCAGCTGTGGTCACGCTGTTTAACCAGCTCCTGTGTTTTGCCTCTGCATTTCCTTGCTGGCTGAAATGATCACAAAGTTGCACAGAGCTCAAGGGAAAAAATGGTCTGCAACCCAAAGGGTGAAAGTCTCTCTTAACCACCTTCCCTGTCCCATGCGTGCAGGTCAGGAGCAGGATGGTTTGCGTGAAGTGACTTTCTCTACCCAGAGGCTGCGCGTGCTGCCTCCAGCAGTCCTGAGCAACCCCGCAGTGGAGAGCCTTGACCTTGACAGGAACAAGCTCAGGAGCATCACTGGCATTTCTAAGCTTTACAACCTGAAGAAGCTGATACTGTCCAAGAACGAGATTGTGGACTTTCCCAGCGAAATCCAGAGCCTGGTCTGTTTAGAGAAGCTTGAGCTGAATCAGAACCAAATCCGGGTCATCCCGGAGGGGGTTTTCTCCCATCTCCCCTGCCTTAAACACTTGCGGCTGAACAACAACCGTCTTGGTGCCCTTCCCAGGGACCTGGCAGCTTGTCGAGGCAGCCTTCAGTACCTCAACATTTCCAACAACCTGTTCCGGACCTTCCCCCAGCCTGTCCTGCAGCTGGCACACTTACAGGAGCTCCATGTGCAGAATAATGCCCTTCGCCAGCTCCCCAAGGAGCTCTTCCAGGGGCAATCCCTGAAAATGTTCAAGGCCAATGGGAACCCCCTCCGGGAGCCACCCAGTGAAGTGTGCGCTGGTGGCATCCAGCAGATCCAGAATTACTTCAACCAGCTTCAACACGGTTTGGGGCAGGAGGACAAGAGGGTCAAGACAATGTTCCTGGGGGCCTCGCTGGCGGGGAAGTCCACCATCTGCAAAAGCCTGAAGCAAGGGCAAACCAAACTGGTGCCCAAGGAAGAGCGAACAGTTGGGATAGAGATCAGCGAGTTCCAGATTGAGGACTTCACTTTTCTCTTCTGGGACTTTGCCGGCCAGCTGGAGTACTACATGACTCATCACGTGTTCATCACCCCACAGGCGCTTGTCATCCTTGTCATCAATCTCCACATGTAAGTGCTGAGCTGGTTTGGATTCAGAGTGGAGTGGGAGAAGAAAAAAGGGGCTAGGGAAGCTTTCCCCTGCATGGGTTCACACCATTTCCATTGGACCTCGATGCCTGGTCTTCTCACTGTTGGAGTAGCTAGCTCATCCTCTCCCCCTTTTTGCAGATCAATCTTTTAATTAAGCCACTAGATCTGTCATCACTTTACCAAAGTCCTCTGTTTTGAGGGGTTAGATGAGCATTAACTCCTTATGTGAGAACTGACCCCGGGCTAAATGGCTTTGCTCTCTACCTTGGAAATACCTCTAAGATACCCCTTCTGTATCTTGTGGTGCTCCCTGAACGTGGAGGGAGCATCACACTTGGGCTTTGTGGTACAGCGGGATGATCCCATCCACAGCAGGGACAGACTGCATAGCTTTAACTGGCTTAGCTTAGGGATGCAAAACTTAAAGATGAGCTTGGATATGGACCATGACAGCTTAGGAGATCTGAGCCTTTCTCCAGTAAGCCACTGGGACAGCACAGGATGCATGGTCAGGCCTGTGCTTGTTGAAGTTGGCTGGAGATCTGGAGGGTTAGATATGAATTTGAGATTTTCTTTCTCTCCCTCCCCAGGTACCAAACTAATGACAGGACTTTCAAGGAGCTTGTTGGTTTCTGGATCAACAACCTGTCCATGCGAGTCCCAAACTCAGTGGTGCTTCCTGTGGGAACCCATGTGGACTGCTGCCAGGAGGAGGAGGTAGAGAAGAAGAGGCACGACATCATGGCCAAGATCAGAGCCATGCTGGCAGAGAGAAAAAGCAACCTTGCTCACTTCATCAACAACCTGGAGGGCAGCAAGGAGCCCGAGTTTTACGTGGACCAGTGGGAGAAGCTGAAGGAGATGGAGAGCTGCACATTAACCGTAGGGTTGAGATTATCATGGTTGCTTGCTGTCTGTGGTCACCCTGTTGTCTCTGGCAGCCCAGCATGCTACGGGTGATGGTGACCTGGTGCTAATGCATCAGGCTGCTACTGTAGCCACTCCCCAGCCCCCGGGTGGACATGGTAATCCCTGGCTGTGACCTGCTGGGTCCTCATCCCTGCTCGGTGATGGGCATCTCCTCCTGTGGCTTATAGCAAGTGCCTGGGGAGAAGTGTGAGGGGGCATTTACCATCCCCAGGTGATTTTCCAGGAACTGCTTCAGAGCAAAGGTGTGAAGGAAGCACCCTCTGAAGCTGAGCCAGTGGTGTGTCCCATCTTTCGTGACCTCCTTAGCTTTAGGTCCCTCCTTTATCTCACAGGCTAAAAGACCTCTGGATGTGCTTTTGGCAGGTGTGTGCTTTCTCTCTTCCAGATCTTAAACTTAGTTGCTGTCAACTGCATGGATCACCATGATATAAAAAAACTTGAGGCCACTATTCTGAAGCATGTGAAGAATGAGGAGCTCTTCCCTGAGGTAGTCCGAGTGCTGCCGCCTGTCTATAGGCAGGGGGAAGCTGCCATCGTAGATATTGCACAGAGTGAGGAGATGGCAGACCATGGTGAGTGGTCTATCACCCCCTGCCACACCTTCTTGGGAGGACCTGCTGTCCTGCAGCTGAGATGGGCTCTCCAGTGCTTGCTGCAACTTTTGGCCCTGCTCATGTGCTGGTGGGGTCGCTGCTGAAGACCTTGCAGTGTTACTGCTGGAGCATTAATTGCTACTACCTAGCTCTGTCATTATGAGCATCTGCCCCCAAGGCAGGTGCCTAAGGAAAAGCACAGGAAAAGGCCAAGTTTGTCTTCGCCAGGAGGCTCTGCCAACATCTACCAACCTGTGGCTGGATGTACCCTGAGCTGGCCACATCGTCTGGATTGTTTCTTTCCAGTAACATTGTTCTTTCTTCCCTTTGCCCTGTATAAGAAATTTAAAAAATCTTGCAGGAAGGAGCTCCACAGCTTTAATGCTTCCATTAATGGTTTCCAAACCTATGTCCTGCTAACTTTATTTAGCGGCCCCTAGCCCCTTCTCTGTGTCTCCTGTGATTTAGCAGGACTAGCAAGCAGCCCCAGCTACTCGCTTACATACCTAAAGCAGGTGTGAACACCACCAGTGCCCAGTGTCATGTCTGGCTCCCCTGGCCACTGTAGGATTAGAGGATGAGGAGCAAATGCTTTTCTTTTGTGGAGATACGCAAGGTTTTGTTCCCTGTCTCACTGCATGACTAAATGACAATCTGAGGTTTAACTGGCAATCTGAGGTTTTCTGGCTGGAAACAAACCTGCTCTCTCAAACAATCTAAAACCCCAGTATAAGCCTCATTTTTCAGATGCTCTGTTGAGGTCTTGGCAGGGTGTTGGCACTGCTGAGGCAAGGCAAGACCATGGGCGCTGCAGGGTGGCAGTGGGACAGCTGAGGAAGGGCAAAGCATTTTGGGCCACAGTCACCAAGCATCATGCTGGTCCCAGCTGCTTCCCCAGGAATGGCATGGGTACTGCTGGTGTTTGTTGGCTCTCTAAACCATCTACCTTGGAACGCTGGTGTCTGAGAGATGCGTGCTGAGCTCCCACGTCTCCTTCTAGGCATGATGGACCTCCAGTACCTGCTCAGCAAACTCTCCCAGTGCAAGCACCTGGCCAACCTGGGCAGAGAGCTTCTCCAGGACATCTTGCGGTACCTCCACCGCATCGGGCTTGTTGTGTGGTACGAGGAAATCAAGCACCTGGAAAGCACTGTTTTTCTCCAGCCTACCTTCCTAATAACTATGTTCAAGGTGGGTGTGGGGATCAGGACTGTCTTCTCTGCAGGGCCCAAGCTCTGCAGCTTTGCTGGGCTCCTCTCATTGCCACCTCTTCTCTCTTTCTCTTCCCACCCAGCTCCTTGTGAGGTACCGCCTAGTACAGCAGCTTGAGAGCATCTCTGTAGACACGCTGATTGGGGAACACGCCACCATCAGAGACAGATCCAACTGGGTGTGGACCTTCAAGTCAAAGGCGATGCTGTGCCACCAGGCCGTGCGTGCCTTGGTGAAGCACCAGCTCTGTTCAGAAGGGATGCAGGATGTCTTTGAGGAAATCATGGGACATAGGCTGCACAGAGGGAGAGGGAAGCTCTTCAGCCTCCTGGAGCACTTCGAGCTCTGCCTGGAGGTGAGGCACGCCAAAGCGCTCAACCCACAGGCCAGCGAGTTTGTGCCCGGGAAGCCATGGGAGACAACACGGGGCCAAGGCGAGTCCTGGTACTTGTTCCCAACCTATCTGAACCAGACGGAAGAGGTCTCTGAGGTGTGGGGAGGAGATCACCCTGAGGACCTCCACATCCGTGCCTACTTCTCACCCGAAATACCTGAGGGTTTCTTCCAGAGGTAAGCAGTGGTTTTCAGCCCTCGATGAGGTTGCGCAGTTCGGGCTTTGCTTGGCATAGCACCAGTATGACTGTCAGCAAGCCCTTGGCTGTTGAGACCGTATCAGCTGAGGCATGAGGCCAGGACTCAGGAGACCAGGGTGGCATCTCAGCTCTGCCACAGATGTGTGGAGCCCTGGATGAACCATTTCGATGTTCACTGCCTGGATGTGAGCAAGGACCATGCTCCTTCTGGTTCACCTTTCATCTGGAGTGGTTTTTGGCTAGTCTGTGCCCATCCAGGCAGTCAGCCGTTTCCCAGTCCCACCTGGGGATGGTCCAGTTTCTATGGGTGCTGGGACTGTTCCAGTTTCTGGAAGGTGTCCTGTCCTTCTGGGGTTCTTGACTTGTGTCCAAATTTTTGTCTGATGGCCAACTCTGGAAGCAGCTCTTGGCTTAAGAGGCTGCTCCTACTGCTTGAGCTTTCAGTAGGACAGGGTCCTCATGTGGTGTCTGCCTCTGTTTCTACTGAAATTGGGTTCATATTTTTCAAGTCCACCTGGTGCCACACTTTCTCCCAGTGTTAGAGATATGCAGGGAGGAGGGTAGTGAAAACCGTGGGCAATCTCCTTGCAGGTTCCTAGTGAAAGCTTGCTCCTTCTATTCCACACACTGGGTGGCCAAGGCGACCTGCCTGCTCATATGCAATGGCAAACCTCTGCTGATCAAAGAGAATAACCAGAGGGCCTACAGCTACCTGGAGCTCCGGTGCAGAAAGCCAGCAGGAAGGACAGGTAAGAATACCTGATCCTTATTGCATGACCCCCCAACCACATGTCTCCCGTTAGCCCTCCCCCCAGCCACTTCCACCCCTCTGAGCAGAGCATCCCAAAAGCCTCTGCCACATGTCCTAGTCTGGCCAGAGTCCACCAGCAGTTCAGCTAAAGATTTCCCCATGCAACCTGGTCAGGATTCCTCTCAAGATACCACATGAAAGTGAAAAGTCAAGTTTTCAGTCTTCTCATGGAGCAAATGGTTCATCCTTCTCCATAAAGTCGCAGCAGCGTACAGTCTCAGGCTGGGTCTCCAAGTGATAAGCAAAAGGGCCATCCAAGTTGGGGAGCTCTTCCAACAGATCTTTAAATTCCCTGTGAAGGCTGATGGGCCTTGGTTAACCTGCGAAACAGAGCTGGTCCAACAGTTCTGGCTGGGGGGAGGG